CGGCGGCTAGAAGTCGTGTTATAAAATCGCGTTCATAACACAAAGGTGGGCGGAGCGTGCGCTGCAGTAGGCGGAGCTTACGTGTATACATATATATATATATATATATATACATATATATATATATATATATATATATATATATATTTTATATTATATAAAACTCCTCGGAGGATCGATGTGGGCGGAGCGTGCTCTGCGGTGGGTGGGGCCTCTTCTGCTGTTTGTTGGGGAGGGGGTGGGCGGAGTTTCCGCTTCGGTGGGCGGGGCTGGTGGCGTCTTCTTGTTGTGTGTCGAGGTACTAACCACGCTCGACGTGGCCTCAGCTGCCAGATCGGACATAACTGGCCCGGCTCGACGTGGTCTCAGCTGCCAGATCGGACGGCTTCGGCTCTGCGCATGCCTTGAGGCAGCTTCAGTTGCCTTAAACTTGGGATTGAATCAGCATAATGCCGATATAAAATTGTTACATACATTGATACATACATACATACACGATACACATGTTACATACATGATACATTGTTCCACTGTTACTGCCCCAAAATCTCAAGTTTCATTTTTCGTCGAAACTTTGCCTATTGGGGTAATTCGATGCCCTGATTACGAATATGACATTCATTTTTGATGCTGGTGTCATTTGGCGCCAATTGGCGCCAAAGACGATTTCGCGTTTTTTTCGTTTTTTCGTTATTTCTTATATAATCGTACTTCAAACTATGCTTGAACAGTTGCAATTTCAGCATGGAGAAGTGAAAAGTGAAAAGCACGGAGAAGCTGTTCGCTTCGCTAGCGCCTACCAAGGATGGCACTGTGGATAACCAGAAGCTGCAACATGCCCAATCGAACAAGGACATAGAAAGTTATTTGATAAAGAGTATGGATGAATTAGGTCTTTCAGGAAGTTCTGTCGTTTTCTGACACTTTACATTTGGATGCATCACTTGAAATCTAGAAAAGCTGCCAATTGGTGTGGATATCATTTTGAAGAGCTTTTCCAGCTCTATCCAATGCTTAGCTCAACTTTGTCCTAAACATTTTCTTATAGCTTTTTCAAAGCTTTGAATGCGGTATACTCGATGAGCAAGTTGGCATGACTTTCTTTTTCTAGCTTTAAATAGACCTGAAAGTAGCGGGAGCAGGTCAAGATATCAACGATGCACTTGGCCTGAATTCGCACCGAATATTCTTTGAAGCAGTAGTAAATTATAACGAAAGCGAGAGCCTTGGGTATGATGAGAGTGGTGGTCGGATATCGGACGTTGCCACCGATTAGCCAAAAGTTCTGATTGAGGCACTCGTGCGTAGACCATTGAGGAGGTTCTGCCCAACCTGGGCGTATATGGTTTGTAGAGCCAAGCTATACGGAAGTAGCTGGAAAGTCCAAAAAATTTGATAGGGGCGTGCCGCGACAAATCACCAATTTGGAAGGTCGTTCATCAATTTCTAGCTTGTTTTATGTGATGAAGCGACTCGCTTTTCTACTGAAGACAATGAAGAGCGGATTTTCTTACAGCCCACGAAGCTTTGCTGAATAGCTCGACGGCGATCAAGCTCTACAAACTTTGCAAAACTTAAACTGTGCTGAAGGAGGGTTATGGCAGCTTTCATTAGGTCAGCGGCTGATCTCCGTACCAGGTGGAACTGTGGACTTACACGCACATCGCACAACCAACCCTGCACGTTACAACTAGCTAGGAGGGGTGCTGCAGATATCCTACTCAGTATACCTCTGCCTATCAACTGTCACTTTTTTGAGGCTCGATGGTTCCCTTAAAGAGAATGATTCAACACAACCCAATGCTAAAACGACCTTTTCCTCAGTTCATCGCCTCCAGAGCTCCAGCATTCTGAGTAAAGGGGCCCAATGGAAAAGCATCTCACAGCGTAAGGTTCGCGCATTCGAACAGCCAATTTCTACTCTAAGGTTTTGTTCAAGGTGAAAAGTATGCATTTGAAATTCGGAGTCGAAAAACGACAGAGCTTTCTGGAACACCTCATACATTCGACTACTATCACAACAGGTATGGATATAATAAAGCTTCAAATATTCCAGGAGAGAGACTATCTTGCTAAAGGAGGCATACCGTAAGTATGCAGGTGACGTTCTACCTTTAGAACCGCTTACGACCAATTTTGCAACGACCGTGAGGAAACACCAGGAACTGTTTGCATACAAGAAAACGTTGTCTTAAAGCCGACACGAGTGTAGATAGTGTGGTCGCAACTCACTTTAGACTACGTTAAAATTCGAGGTTGTGCGAACGCGATCAAACGGAGGGATGAAGAGGCCTCACTGAAGGAAATGGATTACGCAGCACTTAAAGGCACGAGTCGGGATTGAATTGATGCGTTATTTTGTTCAAACATTAGGCAAGGGGTGCAATGAGGAACATTAGTGAGGAGAAAAAGCAAAAAGCACCATAGAAAACACTAAATTTCCCTTAGGAGGCCGGCCGTAGTACGACGGAGAGACACAGCGCTGCGAGGAGAGGGAGAACGCGAGATAGTACGTCGTACGCGAGAGGACGCAGAGACCACGTATGCCGTGGTGGATTACGCTGGCAGCGCCATTGCCGCGCACTTTTGGGTCGCGATAGTGTCGCGCCCTCAGTGCTTGGGGAGCCCACTATCGCACCCTGGGAAGAACTTCTGCTGGTTGCCTAATCCTGACTCGTGGCTTTAAGACAGTGCAGTTGTGGCGTAACTTCAAGATTCTTTCTCACAATAAGTACTCTCGGAATGCTTTGTCGACTCGATACGCAAGCAGAAGACGCGCCATTGACGACCAAGAATGCAGCGTTATTGTCATAAAAGGACTATTGCAAAAACGGCAACATTCGCTGCAGGGAGTGCAATGACATGCATCAATGTTGATGTTTGAGGACATTCGCTAGGCTTCCATGTTGTCACTGACACTTACCCTAATAAGCCGAACACATAAAAAGCACGGATGCGCACTTTAGGGGATCCTGCCAGTCAAGACTTTGGAGAATCATGAAGATTTTCCACATATTTCTTCGTGAAAGACCGCACTAATGAAATCCGATTCGAATAATTATTTACAGTCGATATCCGAAAGTTGGGGTAGGCGTGTCACCGGAAGTGACGTGCACTTGATAGAAGTGCGTGGATAAGCTGTTGCCAGCATGCTTTGCTGATATCCAGCGATGTATGTTGGAAGCAGCTTATCCACATAGCTTCTATCAAGTGCACGTCACTTCCGGTGACACGCCCACCCCAACTCACGATATCGAGTATAGTTCAGGAACACAATTTTACTCGGTCTGGAATGGTGGGCCCAACTCTCCGCATGAAAGGAGTTACAAGAAAAACAACACGGAATATTAGCGAAGCAGACACATCAGGAGTTCCTTAGTTGCCTTCCGAAGGAGCAGTACGAAGAAACTTTTAGTCATTGCAATAAAGAGACGTTAAAGAAGACGCAGTACCTTTTTTTCAAGAAGAATTGATCAGTCCCTTACGCCTCTATTTCTGAATTAGATGCAAAAATTGGTCGGATAGTTTCCGATGGAGGGGTCTCAAATACACATCGTTGCAGTCAAAAAGACGAACGGACAGATTCTTTTATGTGTGAATTTTCTAACAGGATCTAGCGATGCCTACACAATTGCATGATCACTTACTGCCCACTGCATACGAGGTGTTTACAAGGCTAACCGGAGGACAAGCTTTTCTCTCGAATTGACTTGGCAGATGCGTATCCGAAGGTGAAAGAGGAAGAATCGAAGGAGATGTTGACGATAAGCACTTGCAAGAAAGTTTACCGTTATAATCGTCTACCCTCTGGTGGAACAAGCATCTGGCATTTTTCAACATATTATGAATTCAAGGATTTGTGGACTACAAGTCGCATCATTGTCGCATACCGCACATGTACAGAGCATCGCCAGAATTTGGAAGCACTCCTTGACAGAATAGCTGAATATGGCTTTCATGTCCGCTTGGAGAAATGCAGTTTTCTCATGCCGAGGATTCGCTACCTTGGATTTATCATCGACAAAGACGGACGTCATCCTGATTCAGAGAGAATTGAGGCCGTCCGCTTGATGCCAGTACCTTGAAACGTCGCAGAAGTTCGTTCGTTTCTAAGAATGATTAGTTGCTATAAATCATTGATCGGAATATCGAGGAACTCGTCCTGATATTTGCTGGCTGAAAGATTTGTCACTACATATACGGACGTCGATTCAAATTGCTGACAGATCACAAGTCGTTGTTGTACATTTTTGAATCCATATGAGCAATACCAGCTTGCAAAATGCAAAGGGCAAATCGACCTAACGATCTTAACATATACTTATGGGACAGGACTGCAATCTCGATTATCGAAGCACGACTGAATTTGGACAAGCAGATGCACTATCAAGACTCATTCCCTCACGTCCAAACCAAACAGAAGATATTGTCATAGCCAAAATAGAACAAGATAGTGTCGCCGTCTACAGTGCTTCCATGATAGGACTACCAGTGACTGGAAGTCCGATCAAAGAAGTCTAGATCTCGAGATATCACCAGAAAACTAAGGAAAAGGAACATGGCCAGCCAAGCCTGAAGAGAATATGTATGATTGATTCAAGAGTGAAACGAATGAAAATGCTCGTCAGAGGATATGTCTATTGGATGAACATTAATCGAGACATTGAAGAAAATGTCCGCCACTGCCACTACTGTCAAGAAACAGCGAAGATGCCAAGGAAAACAGCTCTCAACTCATGGCCTGAAGAGAAGAAACCTTGGAATAGAGTTCACATCGACTATGCCGGACCCATCAACGGAAAGATGTATCTTGTGGTTGTCGATTCGTACTCAAAGTGGCCTGAAGTTTCCGAGATGTCATCGTCTACAACAAAAGCAACTTTGAAAGAACTCAAGATGTTGTTCGCACGATTCAGGAAACTCGAGTGATCGTCTCGGACAATGGAATACGAATCACTTCAAGAGAATCCAAAAAATTTTGCAAAGAAGAAAGCATACACATGCGTTCACCGCTCTTCCATGCACGATCGAATGGACAAGCCGAGCGTTTCGTCGATTCAGAAGAGATCCCTGCTAAACTAAAGTAGGGAGAGAGATCGGAACCCCTTTCAGAATTTCTGAAGTGTTATCGAAGAACGCCGTGCACGTCAACTCCTGGACAGCTTTCACCAGCAGAACTGTTTCTTGGACGTCAAATAAGGGCTACCTTGACATCACTGAAGGAAACAACCAAATACCAAAAAATGGAAAGTCAATTCAACCGTGAACACGGCGCTCGCGAGATCGTACGAGACTGGAGAGCCAGTCTGAATTTGCAACTACCGTTCTGGACTCAAGCTATTTATCTTGGTACACGTAACAGTCGTTTTAGACGAGTTCTGTACAACGTTCTGAAGGAAAAAGGTCAGGTGTGGAAAAAAAAAACGGATAAATCAAGCAAACAATTGGAGTGTGGCGAATCATGCAAGCTAGATCGAAAGAAAATACCACTGACGGATGAACATGAACACTTCATGGACATTGCTAGAGCGAAGATCGACTGCAAAGATCGGAAGAAGCTCAGCTTCACGCTAAGCTTCTTTCGAACTCTGCAGTCGTAAAAAAGGAGAGAAGACTACCATTGTTCCTGAAAACCATGCGGGCAGATGTAAGCTACATCGCCGTTCACCCAGTCCTCTTCAAGTGAACCCGTGAATGCTCAAACTAGGAGGGAGCTGTTGGGGAATGATGGCAGTCTATAGATGATCATTGTGATCATGATCATTTGTTCATCATCCTACTATATATAATTCGGCTAAGTGTGTCTGTGTGTGTGTGTGTGTGTGTGTTTGTCACGAAATTCATAGCTCGAGTCACAGTAACGATAGCGCAGTGGTTCTTACATATGTTATAGGGGGTGGGATGGGGACACAAGTGGTACGTGATAGGAACTGATAACGACTGATAATAGCTGATAAGAGGGGCTAGAAAGCGAGCATCGCCAATTTCGTTTTGTCGTTGGTACTAGAGCGTCTATACTTACAAATTCTTATTTGTAGTGGTACCTGCACATTGTATCGATATAACCAGCTTGTTTAAAGGCAAGATTCGGGATAAAATAGGTGTGGAAAAGCGTTCAGTTATGAAGCTATAGGTGGGAGGTGGTCTGTAAAAGAGAAGGAAAGCAAACGAAACCACCGATTACGCCCCGTACAGAGACCTCCCCTATTTCAGCCACATTCCACCTTGGGATAGAGAAGAGGCGAATTGGACGAGTTTCACGAACCTAACTCTACTTGCTCCAGTGTCAATAACATTGGATCGCGCTGGGACCACTGCCTCAAATGCGCCCGCGCTTTTCAAGCAGCGCCACGTGGCAACCGACAGCGAAGGGTGGGGCTTGCGGACGAAGGTGTGAGTTGCGGGTTGGACGAGCTCCTTGCGCCTTTGTCGCGCACTTTCAAGCCGCAAAAGGGGCCCGACAGAGCGGAGCGTGCCTTTAATAGAAGTCGATTGCATAAACTCAATCAAGTCTTCAGCAAATGATAAGTTTCATTTCTATATCAAGAAAGCCCAAACTCATTAAACCGCTAATCCTTTCGGGGTTCTAAATAATGGTGAATGTAAATAAATGATAAGCCTTAGCTCCTCACTTATGTAAATAGGCATATTTCATTTTCATTTTGAGACTGACAGCAATCCTATTCACCGCTAAATTATCTGAATTCAAGAAGAATGCTGGATGTTTACAGTTGTGAGATAAATATGCCAGTTCAGCTCCAGACGTTATCACGCGTATTCTCGATGGACTTCAGCGAAACTGGGAAAGGTCTAACACATTCAATAGTGAGGTGGTTAATGGAGTACCTCATGCTGATATTCCATGGGTCCTCCAGTTTCGCTAAAGCCTGCCGTGTGATGCGCGCGATAGCGGGCGGAGCAAAACTGGTTGTGTATAAAAGGGTTGCTCTCTGAGTATGGTTCATCCTTCTGTGGTTCATCAAAGAATGTGTTGGCTGTATTCAAGGATACAACAGCTAAAATCATGTCCTAGTAACCTATTAAGTAAGAACGACGAATGACGAAAAAAATGTGATCTCACCTTTTCAAGGCGACTAGCCCTTGAAGCATCTGCTTTCGATATTTTACTCCATTCAGCAAGCAGTTTTGCGCTGAGGGTAACGCTCACAGAAATACAAGTTATACCAATTGTTGAGACGATGCATCCAACAATCTGCAAAACTGATGACCAGTAGATTCCTTTCTTCTTGAAAATGCTGTTTTCATGAGGATGAGACTTAAAATGGCGATTTGACTTTCTTTTGAAAATTATATGGAATCAATTCTATTAGGTCCCGATTTATCACAACTGTCTCCTTCATGCAGTGGCGCTCAACGTCTCTGATGGAATATTTCGACAGTAACCTTTTTTGTGCGAATCGCATCACTCCAATTTTTAGAGTAAATGTTATGAGACTAGACGATCCTCGAAAAGGAAATGACTCACCAGCAATGCTGAAATGATAGAACCTGATAGAATTTAAACACGTCATATCATGAAAACACTTTCAGTTATTTATATGGAGCAACGCTTGGCGACAATTCTCAGGAAATCCAGTTGGATTGTTTTCACTTTGTTCATTCATTCCAACGAAGAAGATAGATACGTAAACATTTTATACAATAAAGTTGTGTTAAAACCATAACAAAGTTATGTATAAATTCTATATATCACTTTTGTGCTACAACTTGTGTATTCAAATTCTGATGTATTTTCACAACGATCAGGTCATTTTGCATTCAAACTTGATAACCTATTTATTGAAGAAATTAATTTCAACCATGCTTTTTTATCCTCCCTTTCCTTACTGATGAGCGCGGAGGGAGGACACTCAACTTGTTTGGTTACTGTCTGAGGGACCGTCTAATTTTGATTAGGAAAAAACTTTTCACTAAAAATTCCAATTAATTTCAAATTTTGTAAAATTTTTAAATTTTGTATAGTAAAAAATGTACCATTCAACAAAACAATCGAGCATAACAGAAAACATAGGCAGGCAAATTTAATACTCAAAATCTTTACAAGGTCTAAGTGGGGAATCAATCAATAATTGCAGTGTCTTTAGAGACAACCTCAGTATTCCTCAAATTTGAGGGGTTTTCCTGCCATAATCCTGGCTCTTGTTCTTGTCAAGGTTTTCCTACCCTCGTTCATAGTGTTACGACGACGCTCAGAACCAGGGTCAACCGATTTCAAAATTTTTACGACCCCCCCCACACTAATTATGTAGTGTACGCTTATTATTATTATTACATCAGGCAGGTTGGACGACATTGGCATTTATCGCCCAATCTGCCTGCTGTCTGTAATCTACAAGCTATTCACTCGAGTCATCCTCAACAGGATCGGCAGAATACTGGATGAAGGACAGCCATGCGAGCAAGCAGGGTTTCGAAGAGGGTTCAGCACGATCGACCATATCCACACGGTTACAAGACTCATTGAAGTTTCACGAGAGTACAAGATGCCGCTTTGTCTCACGTTCATCGACTTGAAGAAGGCCTTCGACTCTGTGGAGACAGAAGCGGTCATCGAAGCCTTGGGCAACCAGGACTCAGTACATCAAGATTCTTCGTGAGCTCTACAGCAACTTTACGACCAGAATCTCACCATTCTACAAGGAGGTCATCATCGACGTCAAGAGAGGGGTTCGACAGGGCGACACCATCTCGCCCAAACTCTTCAGCGCCGCTCTCGAGAACGTCATGCGTCAACTGGAATGGGAAGACATGGGAGTGAAGGTCGACGGCCGGCAACTACACCACCTTCGTTTTGCTGACGACATCGTTCTTATAACGCCGAACATCGAGCAAGCGGAGCGAATGCTGGCTGATTTCGACTGCGCCTGTGGTAAGGTCGGTCTACAGCTGAACCTAACGAAGTTTATGAGAAACGGATTGGTTCCTGATGCCCCATTCACGCTCAACGGAACGAACATCACCGAATGCTCCAGCTACGTGTACCTAGGTCGGGAAATCAATATGATGAACGATCTAGCTCCAGAGCTGAGCAGGAGGAAACGAGCAAGAACATCGAGGGAGTAGTGAAGAAGACGAAGAACATCCGGCTCCGTGCCCACCTCTTCGATTCCGCTGTCCTTCCTGCCCTAACCTACGCCTCAGAGACTTGGACTCTGCGCAGGCAGGACGAGCATGCGGTCAGCGTTATCCAACGCGCTGTCGAGAGGACGATGCTAGGAGTAACCCTATACACGCAAGTGCAGAGGGGAATCCGGAGTTCCGAACTACGCCAACGATCGAAGATCAGGGACGCTGCCGTTTTCGCCAAGGAATCGAAGATAAGGTGGGCCGGACACGTCATGCGATTTTGCGATGACCGTTGGACCAGAGCGGTTACCGACTGGATCCCTCGGGACGTCAAACGAACACCTGGACGACCGCCGGCCCGATGGTCAGACTTCTTCACGAAAGCTCTGAACGAAAGGAATGAAGGACTTCGTGTCCCTCGAGCGAGGAGGATCCACTGGACAACTCTTGCACGCGACAGGGACGAATGGAGACGTTGCTGGCGCCCGCTCGAGCAATCGATGATCAACGGGACGACAGGTGATACAGGTATTCGCTTATTATACATGCTTTTGTGTGTAAACACTGAGAGGAGCTTTGCGTTCGCAGTGGCGCGATCTTCCAATCAATCAATCAAATCAAAATCAATCTTCCCTCCGGCCCAGCGCGGATAGACCGAGGCGGACTACCAATTTTCAAAGTGGTGTAATTCTGTTCAATGTCAATATTTCTCGAAGTAAGGATAAAAGGATAAAGCATTTGCCGTTGATCAATCCCTTTTTGGGATGCGGCACGCATTCTACTTCCATTTGTACATTCGTAGTGGCGTTTGAATGCGATGTGGCCTATACAATGACTTGCGGGGGCCAGCCGATGTACAAGTCAGTGTTTTTATCCTCCCAGACAAGTCTGGTACCAATTAACCGACCCCGGAGGGATGGAAGGCTTGGTTGGCCCGGGCGACTCACGACCCAGGATTTGATCCCGGACCGCTCGCGTGGTGAGCGCGCCACTTGTCACTACACCACTTCCGCCCTAATATTTCTCGAAACACTTAGTATATTTGTATCTACAAGACCGCTGTAACAGAAAAATTCCACGATTGTCAGTGTCTTTACAACACTGTCGTTTATGGGGTAGAGAATCAAGAATTCATAGAAAAGCACGTTCCTCCATTGGGAAGGTAGAAATTTTCTTCAATGTGTGAAGTGGTAGGAAAATTCTGGAACTATAGACTGTTTTCTTTCAAAAAAGTACTCAAACTTCTGCAAAGCCTCTTTTCTCTAAATAATCGTCCCTTGGACTGTATTTTTCTGCACAACAAGGTATTTCGGTTTTTTCAAATTCAACCTTTTGCAACTCTTGTCTCCTGAAAGAAACTAGAAGGTTATGCTTTCCAACGAATACTTGATCTCGTTCCCAAATGACCCGTTCAAAAAATCGTCCCGTTGGACCGTTTTTTCATGAATTTGCGGAGCCACTCTTCTGAAAACACAAGTTTTCAACACTAAAACACCGCTTTATAAAATA